TGGACAGGGCCTTAGTTACGCTTTAATGGTCACTTTCATCATTAACTCAGGTTAACCAGTTCACTAAAAGGACCTTTTAACAGACCTCCAGCCACTATTTCTGCTTCTCCTCTTAGTGTCATGAACTCCAGCCCCTGACTCACTCTCTCCCCCCCCCGAATCAGCCTGAGAACTCCATTACTCAGCAGTCCTATCACCGGCACAGCCGAACTCTACATACGGAAGGGCTTCCCGCCAGATCATCGCTCAGTCATCGGTTGTTTCAAACCTGTCTCTGAGCTCACAGGCCCACCAGCCATCTACCACAATCCATGCTGTTTACTCACAGTAAGTCAGCCTTTCCATCTTTCCGGAACAGCTATACCGTCTCGGCACTCCCTAGCACGGTGTCACGGTTCCTAGATCAAACTGCGCTCTGTCCAACCCAGCGTCAGCGACTCCACGCTTGGGTCATACAGCCACGCCACAAGCGAACTCCCGAACAAGCCCACCTAAAGAAAACCCCACTGTAGAGTTACTGCCTAAACATGCAGGTGAAACCTGAGACGAAGCCCACAAATGCATGGGGAAGACATGCAAACTCAACACAGGGAGGCCTCAGCAGGGTTTGGAACCTGCAGCTTCCGCATTATGCTGCCCAGGAGCTACAGCCCTATGAAACATTGGGATTAAACATGTACTGACCTGGATTTAGAACGTTTTGTGCAGCTGTTTGAGATTTCTAACTTCTTAGCTCCTGTAGGTTTACTGTGAGGAAAACGTTTGGGACACGCTGACATTTCCGGTATTCCCTGGTGAATCCAGGACGTTCCTCATTATGAAGCACCTCATTAGTCCTCTTTCAGAGTAAAGGTCAAACACACACAGGGGTGTTTGCATGGATCTATTAGAGAGGTTTTCTGAGACCATCTGTTATTAAAGCCATTAAGACGGTTTACAATGAGGATTTTCTGTTGTGATTAAAAACAAGATGATGCATGATCCCGGGAGGATTTCTGATTAATGTCAATTAAAAATGTTTGAAAACAAACAATCTCCAAGGACAAATCCACCAGGATCATTATCACACAGCTAAATAGTTTTCGCTTTGTTTTGTTTATCAAATTAAGTAACCATCACTTTAGTCAGGAGCTTATACTGGAGAAAACTTTCTATGATCAGTAAAAGTTTAAACTTTCACTAAATGGATCAGTTCAAAGAAAGATGCTCCAAGAGTATTTAAGGACATTTTGAAATGTGTTTTTGTCATAAATATTGACTTTTGTACTCATTCAGCTTCCTAAATAGCTTCTGGTTGCAGAAATACCACATTTGTCTTAAACTGAGAAGTGAATATCTATAATCTGATCTATGATTTGTCAGCCAAACCCTAACACTTACTCTGAGAAAAATATGAGATGATGGCCCAATCCCAGTACTCGTACTTCAATTCTTGCACTCTTCAATTGCGCAATCCCGACCACAAGTGCGAATGCGTAGGGTGTCCCGATTCTCAAGTGCGGAAGTTGACCACGCCCTTTTTACACCCTTGATCCGCACTTCACTCAAGTCTACCATCAATGCGGACTTGGGTGAAGTGTGTTACCCACAATCCATTGCTGCAGGAGAACAGGCTCAAGTTCCTTTTCTGAAAATATGTATTTTCTAATGAAATTATTTCATTTAGGATGATTCGCTGTTGCTCTGAATGTTTTAGAGAAGTCAGGAATAAATGTAAATTTATTTGTTTGAAAGTTGTAAATAAAGGTTTTTGGAAAAAGTATCACAGCAACCAGCATCTCGGCATGCGTTGCGATCGATGACGCAATGCTCCCTGTCTCAATTCAGCAATTATTTGCACACTTGTGTACTACGCACTCGAACCCTTCACGTGCACTTCCTCCAAGTGCACTTAGCTGAAGACCGCAGGGCGAGTATCAAGACTGAGCCAATGTCACCTTAAAAGAGCCCCAGCCTCCAAAACGTCAGCTCCATTTATTCAATGTCCTTTAATAAACCTCTACACCAATGTCCTTTTAGCATGTCATTGTTGTTTATATGGAATCTTCGGTTTATTTACAAGTGCAAACATCACCAGCTGCAGCTAAACATTCTTCTGATGATTCCAGATCTAAAGTCAGACAGAATTTTTTTTTAGTCAAAATATTTGAGTAAAGCAACAAAAAACAAGAAAACTAAGTGCACTTGGAGAAAGTGTGCAGTAGGGTTTGAGTGCGTAGTACACAAGTGTGCAAATAATTGCAGAATTGAGACAGGGAGCATTGCGTGATCGATCGCAACGCGTGCCAGGATGCTGGTCGCTGTGAAACTTTTTCCAAAAACCTTTATTTACAACTTTCAAACAAACAAAGTAATTTATTGAAATTAATTTTACTTAATTGTTGCTTTGTCTAAAACATTCAGGGCATCAACTAATCATCCTAAAATGAACTAATTTAATTAGAAAATACATATTTTCAGAAAAGGAACTTAAGCCTTTTCTCCTGCTGCAATGACTTGTGGGTAATACCCTTATCCGAGGTCTGCATTGCTGCGGACTTGGGTGAAGTGCAGATTAAGGGTGCAATGGGGTCAACATCCGCACTTGAAAATCGGGACACCCTACGCACTCGCACCCCTGGCTGGGAACGCACAAATGAAGGGCGCAAGGGTGCAAGGGCGAGTACTGAGAGTGGGCCTAAGTCCAACAGGGACTGGACCGGCACTCTAATGTTGCAAGTGCAGTATTTTGGCCACAGAGGGCTGTGGGGGTCTGAGTGACATTTTATTTCTGTAAAGGGTCATTTCAGCTCATACTGGCTCAAGAAAAGTATTTGCTTTAAGAAAAGTTCCACAACTATATCCTGAATTGGGATTTGTGTGATTTATCTTATTTCTTAGTGATGCAACTGAGTTTCTTCTAGATCAAATTTGAGATTTGCTACTTAAAATTCTAAATCTTTAAACATTATTGCATGTATTGATATTAATGAAGCACATTAGTTTTATTCTGAATATTTTAATCCGATTAGGGAATTTTTCACAAATCTAAGATTTGTCTGTAGAATTCATTATAAAAATATCCAAAAGTCTTCCTAAATCAGACCTGATCGTTGTTGGTGTTTGTGGAAAAGAGAGAAACTTCAGGAACAAACATGTCTGACATCACGGTCTGTAGAGAAAACAAATTAAAGGTCACCATCAGTAATGATGCGGTGGCGGTGAGTGATCCCTGCAGAGCTGCTCTTTAAACGCGGCCTGCAGGGAATCAGCTGCAGCTAAAACATCAACGACGACGTTCCTCTGAGATCTAACTTCTGCTTGTTGCCCGTGAGCAACATTAACGGAAAGTGAAGTTTGAAGCCCCAACCACTTGTTAGGTCTTTGAACTTTATTAACGAACTTTTAGTGACAAAACTAAGTTGTGATGCTGTTTTTAGCGTTTGAAGTTGCAAAAGCCTAAAGTTGTTATGAAACTTTCTCTTTGGTCCTTCTGCTGTTTTTGCAGCAACACTTAAACACAGATGCATCATTTTCTAATGACATTTAAACTATTTATGAATAATTTCTGGAACTGATCATTTAATTATGACAGGAAATATAAAGAAGCATGTACATTTAATCACTGTGGTTAGATTACAGCAGATCACCTTAACATGTGAAACATTCATTTGTGTTTGTTCTTTATTGTTTTGTAATTTCAGCAAAGCCAACCATCACAGTAAAAAACAAACACACATGAACTGATTTCTTGCTAAATTAGTCTCATACAAAATAAATATTAGGATAATAATTGAACATTTTAATTTCGAAATGAATGACTGCTGCTGACATGACCTCAACCCTTTAGCCTCTCACTCAGACACGCTTGGTTTTAATGGTTCAGACAGAAAAGTGTCCTCTTATTTTCCTCCCACAGTTACATTAGGCTGGCTGGTAACTCAAGGTCAGGGGTCACCAACCTGGTGAATGCCAGGAGCCTCAGGCCTGTTCTGAAAACAGCCACCACTACACTGCATTTAAAATTATAGCATTTTTTTCTGTTCCGATCCCTCTGCACATAATCCCAAAACAACTCTTATTAAATCTAGAATCTTATCTCTTATAATCTATTAAATCTGTAATCTTAGTATAAAGGAATAACTGATCAGAGTGCTACAGCCTTGTTATAATTTCCTCTGTTGCTTTTCTTTTGTAGATTCTCTTGTATTGATATGCATATTAAAATGAAAAAAATGTTGGGTTTTTTTCATTAAAGATTAAGTTTGGGTAAGTTTAGTTAAACTCTGATCTATTCTAGTTCAAAGGTCCGTTTAGTGCGACTGACAAAACTCACTGAAGCTGCTCTGAGCTTCTAAAGGTGTGGTGACCCCAATCTAGATTAAGTTCATGTGTGAGCGTGAACGGTGTTCGTCCCTGTGATGGACAGGTGCCTGTCTAGGGTGTAGCCCCGCCTCTGACCCAGTGACCCCTGGTGATCGGCTCCAGCTCCTCGTGAGCTTGAACAGGAACATGGTATTACAACAAAATAATGATGGCTGCTATTTTAAATAATAACTTCATAAATAAAGTACAATTCACTGATATCAAGGATTGTAGAAATGTCAGTAATTGGAACCCTGAAGTCAGGTTCAGTAATCCAGTTTCAGATTATTTATTCATTTTATCTGTATTTGTTTGGCAGATGCTTTCATTCAAAATGACGTGCAATTTTTAACCTGTAGGGCATATTATGATGTGTGGGGGGAACTCGAGTACCCGGAGGAAACCAATGCATGCATGGGGAGAACATGAACCTCCACGCAGCAAGGCCGCAGCCGAGTTTCAAACCTGCAACCTTCTTGCTGCGAGGCAACAGTGCTAGCAACTGCTCCACCACACAGCCCGCATCAACTCAGAAACACGTGGACACCGATTTTCTTGGCAAAACCTCCAAGTAACTCAAACAGTTTTATCGTCTCATAAATATTAGATCATCTCACTGGTTTCCTGTTGAAGGGATGGAAAAAACATCTCAGAAGTAAAAAGCTCACTTCTTTATTAACCTTCTGTCTTTTAATACAACACTTTAAAAATACAAAAACTTGAGTTATCAGAAAATATACAAAACATAAAATAAGAAGCTGTATAGATTTATTCTTTTAAACACAAATCTGTGTAGAATCAGGCTGAAGCTGATAAAATGGCAGATTACACTTTGGTTTGTAGATTATGAAGCAGCAGGTGAATTAATCTTCCACCACCTGATGTCATTTATCATGTATGTAAACACATACAAAAACATTTAGAAAATCCAAACTGACAATGACATTATTCAGAGTAAATTTAAAAAATCACATTCTGATGACAGACCAAACCTTTAATTAAATCATTTTAAATCCCTTTTTTACAATTAAAACTTAGTTTTTTTTCTTCTTCCGTGATTCTGAACAAAGGCCACAGGATTATGGCCCAGAGGGGACAGAGAATCTGGTTCAGTTTGGAAAATAAGTGGTAATAAAAATATTTTCTCCAGATTTCATCATGTCATCATTTTTCTGTTCTGCTGTTGGTTAGAAGCAACAATCTGACATAAATACATCCAGTAAAAGTGTTTAAATCAGACGGAGCATAAGAAAGGGCACAAGGAGACAACTATCCCATCAGAGGAAACCTGTTTGTGATTATTCACTAATATCTACAGGACACCTGGTTAAAAACAGCCACCAGGCCTGGAGGTATAATTCATCACACTGTACTTTAATGTCCATTTCTTTATTACATTTGATGTTGTTTCTAATAAAAATGATTCTCGAATAAAACCTGCAGATAAAAACATCTTTTTATGCTTTTATAAATGGATCTGGTTTTTATTATTTCATTTCCTCTGCATCCATTTAAACCCACCACACTTTAGTGCAGATGCACTCTGATCTTTATGGGTTGGTCACTTTGTCGGGGTGCTCCCTCCTCTGATCACCGTGATGACTGGATCACTTCCTGGACAGGAGCTGGTTCTCCAGCTGCTCCAGGCGGGCGGCCATGGAAGTCAGTGGATTGTGGGTTAAGGAGAGGTTGCTTCGGCTGAGTGAGCATTACATTTGTGCATCTTTTAGAGATGTGACAGCAGAAAAGGGAATAAAAAGGATATGTTTCTGCGTGAGCTGCTGCAGGCTGCTCATGGTGGCCTGCTGGAACTCCACCAGGTTCTCACAGGCACATGGGTCCTTCACCTCGATCTCCCCCTGACTCTCAGCTGCAGACAGGAAACAGAACATGTTTATATTTTATCAGTCGAGATTTTAATTGCTGCATATTTTTAAGCAGTTCTTCAGCTTTAATGTCCCTCTGGACCTCCTAGAACTGTGATTCCTCCAGGTGGGGTTGGGACCGCTCAGCAGGAAGCTGCATGTTTATTCCAAGTTTCTAATTACTGTGCAAAAAATACTCAAGTTTCAAATGAAAACATGCTAGTTTGAACATTTTTACACATAGGATTTAACATTCTGCCACGGTTTTAAACTGTAATGAGTGCTCTGTATGTGCCATGTTTTATTTTGGGCAGCAGGTGGCGCCAAAGAGCATGAACTCTCAGTTGGGCCCATAGGTTGGGCCCATCACCTTTACCCCAGGAACAAAGACCCAGTCCTTCTAAAATATGCTTTTAGATCTGTGTGTGTTTTATTGTGTTAGTGTAAGTGAAAAGGATGAATAAACAAATCCTGCATCTGAAACTGTTGGATTTTCTAATCCTAGAGTTTCACCGTCTATTTTCTATCAGAAGCTATTGCAGGAGCTAGGTGTACAGTAGGAGACTATTTTCATGTTCAGCCTGCATAAAACACTCAGAGTGACTTGTTAAAATCAGAAATTATCCTTAAAAATGGGTTTTCAGTCAACCACACATAAATAAAACTTGCAAAATTGTCTAGATATTGTTTTCTGATGTTGATGTTTGAGGAAAATGATGTAAAAAAAAACCCTCTAAAGTATCTAAAAGTGTTGCTGGTACTTTTAGCGTCAGGCTGCTGTGGAATAGCTTAAATCTGAATTTATTTTTACTGCATTAGTATTTAAAAACACAAGTTCATCTTTATCATCTTTAGCCAAAGTTCTGAAGAACGTTTGTTGAAGGTCCAAAGAGCAGCGTAAGCCTTGACTCCTGTGTGAGACGTTTTAACTTCCTCTCCAGTCCTAACAAGAAGATATTTCACTGGTGAACTATTTTTCCACTGCAGTGAGGTCCGGTGGATTTTTTTTTTTTACCTGGGCAGACATTAAGTTTGAGGTTCTCAGCAATTGTGCTGATGGCGCTGAAGTCAGTGGTGTAATAGAAATGTTTCTCCACAGGTTCAGATGCAATCTCACGAAGCTCTTCCTCCACAGCTTTTCCTACGCCCACAGCATACATGGTGATTCCTGCATGAATGCATGAGTCATAAATCAAAATGAAGGTCACACAGAAAAATGAGGAGACTGGTTCACTGGGATGAAAATGGACCAACCTGCTTCTTTAGCCTTTTTGGCGTACTCGCTGATGTCATCCTGGGACCGTCCATCTGTGAAAACCAATCCCACCCGGGGGATATTACGGCTGGCTGGACGGGCTCCTTCCGCCTCGGAGAAGCTGTTCTCCAGCATGTGCTTCAGTGCCAGGCCTGTCATCGTCCCCTTCTCCATGTATTCTACCTGAAAGACAGAAACGGTTAAGCCTTGCAGGACATATGATACGTCACAGGTTCAAACATCATGCATACATCATTTATGGACCACTCCAAGCCTCTCTGAGTCTGTGTACTGTACCTGAATAACCTCGATTAGCTCTGTTTGTTTAAGATATCCTTTTTAACGTTGTCAAGTGCAAAAAGTCTAGATTTATAAATGTTTTTTTGCCTTCATAACTGCAGCTTTGATCTCTTCAGCAGTGTGGTACTTGTTCAGCGGGAACTCTGTTCTGACCCGGCTGGAGTACTGAACCAGGCCCACTCTAGTACCATGAGCAGACAGATCCAAGGTGTCCACAACCTGGAGAAGGGGAAGACAAACGTAAGACAAACCTTTTTGTTCTAGACTTGCACTTAAAAGTGTCTCACTCAGACAAAGGCTGACTGCTCGGATGTGTTTTAATGTGATTAATTCATTCATAATTAAATAGGAAAACCTCCTCGACCTGGTTAACAAACTTTTTGACAAGCTCAAAGTTCTGAGGCCGGACGCTTTTGGAGCCGTCGATCAGAAGCACCAGGTCGATGACTGCAGACTTGCAGGCTGAAAAGAAAAAAGACACAATCAAACTTTTCTGCCTCTGAAAATCCTGTGAAAGCGGTTCGGTTCCCACCAAGTATAGCTTCCTCAACATCCTCCCCTCAGGGACGAAAAATAATAAAAAATAAATCAAGACAAAAGTCGCATAGAAATCCAGACGGTTTTATTCCAGACAACACTCCTCTGTTTTTAGCATCAGAGCAAATATCACAAAGACTGACTGGACCTCACATTTATTTGGTGTCATCGAATATTTTACTGAGTTTTCTGCGTGAACATTATAAATTTCCACCTGTTTTCTGAGAATCGGGGTAAAAAGGACAGAACTATTTGTGGTGAGTTGTCACGGGAATTTATTTAGTAGTTAGAAAATATAAACGTGGCTCATTTCTGATCGTGATTTATGATCTCTGGTGTAGTACATGAGAATTCTTAGGTCAGAAATGTAGTGCCTTTTATACATTCAGCTGTTTTCATGTGTATTTTATTATGAAATCTTATGAAAGATTTTCTAATTAAAATCAAAAAGTTATTTATTATTTCATGCATCCATAAGGAGTAAATTTTTCACTTTAACAAAACAAAATGGAAATGTGTCAAGTGCATAAAAAGCAGTTAAAGCTGTTCTAATGATATTCATTTTCATTTCTATCACTTTTGTTTAAACAAATTAATCATAAAATTAAAACTCTGGTTTTCAGCTAAAAAGCTGAGCAGTGGGTTCACCTGGGCTCGTGTGCTCCAGCGAGGACTTCTGGTTGGAGTTTAGGTAATTCTTACAGAAAACGACTGTGTGTAAAGTATCAGAATCAGTGCAGCTATTACCTCCAGTATTCTAAAAAGGGTCCAGACTTTATCTGCTCTGTTTTATTGGCATCAAGCCGCTGAAGCTTCTGATCAAGCAGCTGAAATCTTATGAAAGTGGAAGTGAAGCTTACTGCCACAGCTTTTGCCGTCATCCTGCAGCGGCTGCCCTTCAGGACAGATGCAGTGGAAGGATCCTGGAGTGTTCACACACTGGTGCTCACAGCCGTGCGCCACCGTGTTACACATGTCCATGTCTGAGAATACACACACAACTTTACAGGAAGACAGAGACATGCAGAAACCAAAACCATGAACCAAAACGAAACCCGAGGGAGGAATGTTCTCATTGCACCAGACGTGTTGGATGGTTACTGCTGTTGTTTTTGATTTGAGCTGTTTCTGTTTCTAACAGAGCTGTTTCTATTTCTAACAGGAGGATTTGATTTCCTCCTGTTTATATTCTACACCCTGAGCACTGAAGCCTTTTTCTCTGTTCACTAGGGGTTGTATCAACTAGTCGACTTCACTGCTCTGTAGTGACTTTTTATGCCTTTCATCGACTAGTCGCTGTCACGTGATAATGACCGACAAGATGCAGTCCTCGGAAAAGACAGCAGGTGACGAGCCCCTGCGCGTCAGGAGGCAACGCGCTGTACCAGAGCGTCGGCACTGACGCCCGCCGTAAAATGGACATTTAATCAAATTGTGACCTTTATCCTCTTGCAATTTAACATTCCCCTCACCCCATCCTAACCTTAACCAGCTTGCGCATGCAAAGCTCTGATTGTTAACGCGCTCCAGACATCTGCGTCCTGAGCACGGCCACAGTAACATTATCGAATCAGGTGTCGCTACCTCAAAAACGAATTTAACATGTGATCGTTCATGTCGGCTCATTTCCTTTAATGTTTTCTGTCTTTTACTTGTGCCTGATGTGCTTTACTGCAGTGGAGTGGAGCGCATCACCTGTTTTGTCCTCCGGTGATGCACCTTACCAGTGCGCAGTGCGCACTCCACTGTTTTTGTGGTCGATAGATCTTTGAGAACTGCAGTTCAAAGGTAACTCATAAGGTGAACATATATGAACCCAGGTAGCAGTTTTTCTTTAGGATTGAGAGGAGATGCAGGAAGATAATAAACAGACAGGACAGAAAAATAGTCAAATAAAAACAAGCTAGTTTTTGTACCTGGTGGTTGCAACAAACAGACACCATTGAAGGTAATCAGAAGTGAGGTACAGAAAATGAAATAATTATTTTAATGTTTAGAGCAGCAGGAACACTGAGAGGCTGCAGGCGCATCAGTGAGTTTGCAGCCGCTGCGCAGGGGGAGGGGGGAGAGGGCTGAAGCAGAAACTACAGTTGTTAAAAGAGATGTGTTAACTTAGAAAATGTGGGCGCAATTTCAATTGTCAAAAACTCCAGCGAACCAACCCGCTTCAGGTGCATTACGTCATCAACGACTAGTCAAAGTCGACTCGATTTTCATTACTTGACTGTCGACTTGAAAAAAAAAATAAAGTCATGCAGCCTCTTCTGTTCACTAATACTTTAGAAATGATGTTGTGATATAAGCTAGATGAATAAACGTTTCAATCAGGAGCAAAGGCAACTTATCGATGAAGAGCGACTGACTTGTGCAGGTCTTCTTGTCGTCGTTGAGTTTAAAACCTTTGTTACAGTCGCAGGTGAACGCGCCCGGTGTGCTGATGCACATCTGCTCACAGTCGTGTTTCCCCTCAGCACACAGGTCAATGGCTGCAAAACACAATTATACTCAATATTATTCTTATTTTCAGCACAACAGTTTAGAGTATCTGCTCAGATGTTGGCAGCAGCTCATGTGTCGTGTTAGGAAACAGACAGTGGAAGGAGAAACACATGAATCTTTTGTAATTGATATAAATGTTTATATTTCTGTGTATCTTCCTGGTTGTCTCACCTGAGCAGGTCTTCTCGTCCTCGTTGAGCCGGTAGCCCTCGCTGCAGTCGCAGGTGAAGATGCCAGGTCCCATGTTGACACACACTTGTCCACAGTCATGTTTCCCCTCAGCACACACGTCTATGGCTAAAACACACACATAATATGTGTTAAATCTTTGTTTCTGGAATCAGTTTTTGTTTCTTTCGTCAGAGGAAATAAAACATGAACCACCAGAACAATCCTGTTTTAGTTGTGCACAGAAGGGCAGAACACGTGAGGAGAGCCAAACAGCAAAATAGAAGAAACCTACAAGTTCCAGTCGGTTAGTGGAGAGAAAGTTATAATAAAAACATTTATTACTTCTAATATTCTTATTATTCACAGGGCTCCTGTTTGGGCATTTTCAAGAATTAAATTATTCTCTAATTATTTCAATTATTTAACTTCAAACTTTCTCAAAATGACATATGTCAGGACTTTAGCTCATTAGGAGCATTTAAAGTTCTTTATGTTCAGTCTGATGTGTGTTTCAGTAAATAATCTACGGTTATAAGGTGAATGTGTCCCACTCTGCCCTAGGGTGTAAAGTGTTGATCTTTCTGATGTACAGCAGCTTTATCCAATGAAAAAGAGAATTATTTACTTTCACAAAACACCACTAGCGTCTATATGTTTGTGTGTTCCTGGTTGTCTCACCTGAGCAGGTCTTCTCGTCCTCGTTGAGCCGGTAGCCCTCGCTGCAGTCGCAGGTGAAGATAGCCGGTCCCATGTTGACACACACTTGTCCACAGTCATGTTTCCCCTCAGCACACAGGTTAATGGCTAAAATATATAGAGTCACTCACTGAAACCTTTTATTTTAAAAAATATTTATGAATCACTGAAAGAACTGATCTCCAACCCAGCTGGTTACAGTTGTTTCTAACCTCCAAACCATCCCATAATAAATTCTAGTTATAAATCACAACAGTGTTATTAAAAACTCACTTTTGAATTTGACTTCAGTAGAGAAGCAAGTTTGATGTTTTTGTTTGTTTTTAAAGGTTTGTGATGGTTTTAGTTTCCTCCCAGCAGCGTCCTGCAGGTGTTGCTGTGACTGCTGCTACAGACGCTGTTGGGGGTGGGGGGTGGGGGGTTGGGGGTGGGGGGGTGGGATATTGTTGCTTTGAAGCTTAATATATTACCTTTACTTATGACCAATAAGATGTGATATTCTATATAAATATAGAATATCAACCTGCTTGGTCTTTACTTGGCCAATCGGGACGTGCCATGTTAGGAGGTGTTAACAACAACCCTCAGAACATCACACCTTCTTTCAGATACAGGATGCTTTGATTTGTGGCTAATAAAATATCTATGTGCAGAAATTACTTTAACTTTAATTTATCTCTAATGAGCATTGTCTGAGTGTAGATAATGATTCACTTGCTAAACCAAACATTAACATCAAAATGTTTGATTGTAATAATAAAAATTGATTTGAACCTTATTAACTTAGGCACAGATTAATCAACCTTATTAATTTAAGCAATGATTAATCAAAACATTGTTATTATTCATCAGCCATTATTGTTATCAAATAATTATTTAACTTATGAGTTGTAAAAGTGTTCCCTTCATTCAGAGGCATGAGGAGTCCTGTAGAAGCGATAAGGGAAGCGTAGGCCTTGAAACGGGAACAGTTTGATGACAATATGTTATCATGTGTCCAGAGCTGCAGAATCTTCTGGGCTTGGTGGAAGGCAGAATATAAAATCCACCTTAGAGAATGGAATTTATGTCTGCAGATGACCAGTGGCATGTAGGTCAATCTGTGGGTGAAAACTGACCTTTCCTGGACTTTACAACACTTATCCACCACTCGCATCAAGTTACAGGAAAATGTGCATGGCCTGGTGGATGTTTCTGATTTATTTAGCTGTTCTGTTGCTGCTTCGTGTTATTTTATTCAGTTTCTAAGTCATGAGTGAAAGTTTGAATCCCCCAGTGAGCCGAGGCAGACGGCTGCTTCGCAGGTTCTGCTGCATGTTTCTTCCGCTACACTACGCTCCTCCTCACTGCTCGCTATGTTGAGCCAAGGTGAGGCCTGACACAAAACATCAAAATTCATGAATCTAACAAACAAAAATCCTGTAATCCCTGTTATAACTATTTGCTCATCATTATTAGCAGATAATTCAGCTTGTGGCACATGAGCAGTGATGTCGATAATGAATTTGTGTTGGATGAGGCTCACCAGAGCAGGTCTTCTTGTCTTCGTTCAGGTGGTATCCTTGGTTACAGTCACAGGTCAAGGAACCAGGTGAGCTGATGCAGATTTGCTCACAGTTGTGTTTTCCCTCAGCACACAGGTCGATGGCTGTCACAAACACACACGCGCAGCATCATTGTTCATTTTATTTCCATGTTTGTGGTGACTCAGAAAACTTTTTAAAGAAAGAAATCTAATTGGGATCGTCACAGTTGCTTTATGAAAGGAAGTAACATAATTTTTGCTTAGATACCTGTGCACGTCTTCCCGTCATCGTTCAGCGTGTATCCGGGCAGGCAGAGGCAGTGGTAGGAGCCTGGGGAGCTCTCACACAGATGCTCACATCCATGATCTGACTCCACACACAGATCGAGTCCTGCAGTAGAGTTAAGAACACAAAAGCACAACTTATCAAATAAAAATAATGCTGCTGTTTCTATGAGGTTTGTATCTGTGGTAAGTAGGATTACTTGTATAAAAATAGGCATCGCTGTTTACTGTATTTAATGTCCTCTGCATCTTGCTGCACGAGAAAAGCAGCTCATGAGATGTTTGAGAGTAGCAGTCCATTTCAGAGGAACTTCAGCTTAAGCCTCCCACTGTCCTAATGGGTGTGACCCCGCAAGGAAAGTTGACCATTGAGCAGGATTGATGGTTTATCCCTTGGGTCCGTGTGGCAGAGGTGAGGGGTGAGCACCACCTCACCGCTGCCACATGGACCTCAAGGGATAAACCAACAACCCTGCTCAATGGTCAACTTTCCTCGTTGGGTCACCCATAAAGACAGTAGGAGGGTTAAAAAAATGTCTTGTTTTGAAGGACTTTCTTTAAAAAGTGTCCCAGTTCTTTTTATCACTCCAGGCTAGACATGAAATGTTTTTAAATGCCATAAAATGTTTGATCGGCCCGTCTGGCATCAAAAACATGATCACTGAACCAAAATGAAGCTGGTCTTAAAACAGAAAAGGGTAGAAGGCCGTCTCCGGGTCAGGGACGAGGTCCTGCCCCCGCTGGAGGAGTTTAAGTATCTCGGGGTCTTGTTCACGAGTGAGGGAAAGATGGAGCGTGAGATCGACAAGCGGATTGGTGCTGCGTCTGCAGTGATGCGGGCGTTGTACTGGTCTGTCGTGGTGAACAGAGAGCTGAGCATCGAGAGGAACCAATCGAGGTGGCTCGGGCATCTGGTTAGGATGCCTCCTGGTTAGGTTTTCCGGGCACGTCCAACCGGGAGATGGCCTAAAGAAAGACCCAGGACACGCTGGAGGGGCAATGTCTCTCGCTTGGCCAGGGAACACTTTGGGATTCCCCGGAGGAGCTGGCCCAAGTGGCTGGGGAGAGGGAAGTCTGGGCCTCCCTGCTTAGGCTGCCACCACCACGACCAGACTCCGGAGAAGCGGCTGAAACTGGATGGATGGATGATTTAGGTTTTTGTGTCTAGTGTTAAAATGAATAGAAGTCCAGGATTACGAGGATTTAGGCAAGAAGGCCGACTAATGAGAAAACCATCTCTAGTCCAGAAAGAATGACTCATCAGTGTTCAGGTGGTTTATGAGCTTCAGCTTGATGTTCTGGTGGTTTTGTTCTGGTTTTCACTTCCCTGTTGATTTAATTTACAAGATATATATATATATATATATATATGTACAGGTGCTGGCCAGTAAATTAGAATATCATCAAAAGGTTGAAAATATTTCAGTAATTCCATTCAAAACGTGAAACTTGTACATTATATTCATGCAATGCACACAGACCAATGTATTTCCGATGTTTATTACGTTTAATTTTGATATTTATAGGTGACAACCAATGAAAACATCAAATCTGGTATCTCAGAAAATTAGAATATTCTAAAGGCCAATGAAAAAATGTTTGTTTCTCTAATGTTGGCCAACTGAAAAGAATGAACATGAAAAGAATGTGCATGTATAGTACTCAATACTTAGTCGGGGCTCCTTTTGCCTCAATAACTGCAGTAATGCGGCGTGGCATGGACTCGATCAGTCTGTGGCACTGCTCAGGTGTTATGAGAGCCCAGGCTGCTCTGATAGTCGTCTTCAGCTCCTCTGCATTGTTGGGTCTAGCGTATTGCATCCTCCGCTTCACAATACCCCATAGATTTTCTATGGGGTTAAGGTCAGGCGAGTTTGCTGGCCAATCAAGGACAGGGATACCATGGTCCTTGAACCAGGTGCTGGTGGTTTTGGCACTGTGTGCAGGTGCCAAGTCCTGTTGAAAGGTGAAGTCTGCATCCCCATAAAGTTGGTCAGCAGCAGGAAGCATGAAGTGCTCTAAAACTTCCTGGTAGACGGCTGCATTGACCCTGGACCTCAGGAAACAGAGTGGGCCAACACCGGCAGATGACATGGCACCCCACACCATCACTGACGGTGGAAACTTTACACTGGACCTCATGCAACGTGGATTCTGTGCTTCTCCGCTCTTCCTCCAGACTCTGGGTCCTTGATTTCCAAAGGAAATGCAGAACTTGCTTTCATCAGAAAGCATAACTTTGGACCACTCAGCATCAGTCCAGTCCTTTTTGTCCTTGGCCCAGGCGAGACGCTTCTTGCGCTGTTTCTTGTTCAAGAGTGGCTTGACACACGGAATGCGACACCTGAATCCCATGTCTTTCATGAGTCTCCTCGTGGTGGTTCTTGAAGCGCTGACTCCAGCTGCAGTCCACTCTTTGTGGATCTCCCCCACATTTTTGAATGGGTTTGTCGTCACAATTCTCTGCAGGGTGCGGTTATCCCTAGAGCTTGTACACTTTTTTCTACCACATTTTTTCCGTCCCTTCGCCTGTCTGTTAATGTGCTTGGACACAGAGCTCTGCGAACAGCCAGCTTCTTTAGCAATCACCTTTTGTGTCTTGCCCTCCTTGTGCAAGGTGTCAATGATTGTCTTTTGGACAGCTGTTAAGTCAGAAGTCTTCCCCATGATTGTGGTGCCTTCAAAACAAGACTGAGGGACCTTTTAAAGGCCTTTGCAGGTGTTTTGAGTAAATCAGCTGATTAGAGTGGCAGCAGGTGTCTTCTATATTCAGCCTTTTCAGAATATTCTAATTTTTTGAGATACCAAATTTGGAGTTTTCATTAGTTGTCACTTATGACTATCAAATTTAAATGTAATGAACATTGGAAATACATTGGTCTGTGTGCATTGCATGAATATAATGTACAAGTTTCACGTTTTGAATGGAATTACTGAAATATTTTCAACCTTTTGATGATATTCTAATTTACTGGCCAGCACCTGTATATATATCTTAATGTGAAGCAATTTTCTGGTCCAGTGTTCTTACCACAGAGTTTGTTCTGGAACTGGAGTCCAAACTGGTAGATGAGATCAAACCTCTCAACCAGGAACACGTGATCTTCGAACGGCGGCGAAGCCATGGCCCTCAGTGATGTCATGTCGGCTCTGGCCACTCCCACAGCAAAGATCTCAATCCCCTTTTCTCTGGCCTCAGCCGCCACCTCCGCCACGCGGTCCTGAGGACGCCCATCCGTCACAATCACCGCCACGTTGGGAACCTTTGGTGAGGGGAAATCCCCAGATCAGAGATGTGTGAGGGAGATTATGGCAAAATGAAATTACCATCCAGCCAGCATGCATAGCTGGGCCCCATATGGATATATATGGGCAAACCATATGAGTGCCATCAGGGTTTGTCTGCCATTTCCACGGTGGCCCCACATGGGGTAAATCTTAGCAGGCTATATATGAACCGCATGCTGGCTGGGTATTAACAATAATTATAAAATATATATAAAAAAACTTCAGGCATTCCACAAAATAAAGACAAATTTACAAAACAAAGTAAATGAAGGCATTTTTTCTACTCGGTACAAAACCTGGTCCAGCAGAATGATGCATTCGTGATTTTACCAAATGAGCCCGTTAGACTGGAAAAGGTGAGTTTTGGACAGATTTTTGGAACATGAGACACGTAATGAACTAATGACTGGTACCTCTGGTCGGTCTCCCTGCTCTGGGCTGAAAGCTTCATTCATCAGATACCTGATGGCGAGGCCGGTCATAGTGCCCTGAGCCAGGGGGATAATCTCGTTGATGGCTTTCACCATGTTCTCCAGTTTACTGTGGGTCTTCAGGCTGAACTCACTTCGAACCTGAAAACAAAGCCGTTGACTCTAAGAAACTGCTCAGCTTTTCCATCATTCATCCTTTAGAGAGGAGGAGAGGATCTGCAGCAGCACCTGGCTGGAGTACTGAACAACTCCCACTCTGGTGGTGTCCAGTCCAATATCCAGAGTGTCCAGGATGTCGATCATGAACTTCCTCATGGTCTCAAACTCATGTGGTCTAACGCTGCGGGAACTGTCGATCAGGAAGACCAGGTCCACCGGGCCGGACTTACATTTCTGCTCCGCACCTGGAAAACCAGTCATACCAGTAAAAGGTGGTTGTTTTTATTGAACAGAAATGAATAAGTGTCAGTCATGTTTTAGGTCAAACTTTTAAAAGAGTAAAACCCAACAAATTATCCTTAAAATGCTTTTATTTTGTATTTTTAAAGTAAAAATATTTTACCAAAGAAAGGATTATTTCTGAAGTTGGCAATAAAGAGAAGGGTGTGTGTGTGTGTGTGTGTGTGTGTGTGTGTGTGTGTGTGTGTGTGTGTGTGTGTGTGTGTGTGTGTGTGTGTGTGAGAGAGAGAGTTTTGGACTTCCTTTTGCCTCAAACCCATCAGCAGGCCCCATGGGGTGTAATATCCAACACTTTTACCACCTGACGCTACGTTTCCGTGGTTTTCAGCTGCCACACAGCGCCTGCTTCATCTTACTCACTTTCATGTTGGAACGCCATCACATTTGAGAAACCAGCCGCCATGACGGAGGTTTAGCAGCAGTTTTATTAGCTGGGAAAGTACTTTTGTGAATAATGGACATCCAGAGCTTCGACTGGAATCCATCACCCCAGAGACACGAGGGACTGTGGACAGATCTGTCTTTAGTTTCTACCAGATATGAGTATTAGCAGGTTTACCATTTAAAAAGCAAGTCCATGACTTTACTGTGTGGCTGCAGACATGAAGTCATGAACAAATAAAAAGTACACCATGAACATGTGAATAATAGAAAGACAAGCTTTTGTCTTTTATTCCTAAATGTCCAACAGCGCCAAACTACTTTCTATAAATCAGATCTGAAACAATCGACACTGACCAGCTTTGGGTCTGGCGGTGGTGAGGACCGCCAACGTCAGCAGAACCAAGACACTTAATGTTCTCATCTTCATCCAGATGATCCGGAGACAAGAAAAGGCCGGCTCACAGCTGGACGGGAATCAGCTGGCAGAAGAATCCAACTGTACAGGAGAGCAGACAGAAATGTTTCCAGATTAACATCCAGGTGCACATCTGTACCCATGTGTAGAAGGAACTGTGAGAAGTAACTTTTGGATCATTTTATGGCTTCTTACTGAGTGAAGAATATTTAAATCTTAATTTATTCTGATGTGATAATTTTATTTGGTCTCATTTGATTTGTTGAAACTCAGCAGAGAGATTAGAGCGAGCAGAGAAACCTGCAGACTCTGCCCTCGTGTTTCTAAAGCGATATTATTGAACGTGAACGTTTTGGGACATTCCAGTTCAACCCAATCGTAAAACGCACCTGGTTAAGGTGCGCTGCGATCCCAGCTAATAGAAGGCTGTGGATGCAGCGGCTGTGGGTCTGCTGGGATCCCCGTAGGCTATCAGCTCAGTAGCAGCAACGGGGCAATGATAACGTCTGGAATGTGTTTATGTTCAGGGCACCCAGTCAAATCAAACAGGCAGCATGAAAGCTGCCTCCCTTCGTCCAGGTCCACAGAGACACCCTGCAGGAGTTAATCACTGTCAGACTGGAGGCCAGAGATTGTGGTCGACACAGACTCAGATCTGAGTCAGGAGTCAGCAGATGAAGCTGAGCACAAAGGCTCTTTTCTCTGTTTGTCTTGTTGACTTTTTCCTGCAGCATCTGTTCCTTCTCTCTCTGCCTACTCCCTCTCTTCGTCTCTCTCTCTCTCCTGCTGAAATCAGATCCAAGTGTTTCAGAAGCATCACTTCGATTAGAGGACGGTCTAAAGAACATCTGAAGCACATTTTTCATGCTTTAGTGTCTGCCCTCCGTAGGTCAGGCCCGTGGCGTAGTTTGTGTTTGCATTAAATGCTTGCAGGAATACTTTTCTTGTGTTATTTCTGAGCATTCTTCACTGAGTTGGGTGGTAAGACTGATCTGTCAGTTTACAGGTCTTGTTGTTTTGTTTTTCAGGATGCTGCAGTAGCATTCATTTCATTACTTTTACCTGTCAATGGGTTTAATGACGTCAGACATAAAGCTCTTGATATCGGTCAGAAGTTGAAACCAGTTTGATTCTGATCAAGAAACTGAATGAATGAATTAGTGTTCTGAAAAAAAGACAAAGTTCAAAAACAGACAAAAAACTCTTAATGCTCGTAATACTTTGCATTAGTCATTATCGGTTCGACTTCCATCGGTTCGACTTCCATTATAAATTATATAAAATATACCTATTACATACAGTAAAAACTAAAGATTTGCAGTTAAACTGCACACAGAGCATGAAAAGGAGTTTCAGACAAAAGGTGTAGAAAAACAGAGAGCAGGATTTGTAATTAGCTGCACTACCAGTAGTGTCCACCCAGTGGCAGCACAATCAGCCTGTCGGGTTAAAAGTCAGCACAGGTGTGCTGCTTGTGTAGGGGGCAGCTATTTGAACAGTCACTCAGTAAGCAGCTGTGAGACGAGAACAGCTAACCTGCAAGGTTAAAGGTTACAGGGGAAACAAAAGAGGAAGTGACATATGACATTTTCAGTTTTAATAACTACTGCTTTTACGCGTGTGCGGTGTTGAGCTGTGCTGAAAGAAAACACAGAAACACACGTAAATGCTTCAGATGCCATCAAAGGATGCTAATGATTAAATATCAGTCACCTTCATAACTTTAAAACCAGTAAAGTTTGATAAAACTGAGATACAAAAGACCAGCTCTATAAAATATAATTCATGAATGCATTGTTTCAATTATCCTAATTAGAGGATAAGCCTTCTGTTCTGGAGGATCATCTCCTCTTATAGGTGCTGAACACACGTGTAATCTATACATCTGCAGCGGTCTTTGGTAGGAACTGGTAGCGGCCTTGTAACTCATTGTCTGGGGCGGGGTGTGGAACCGCCTGTATCAACACGAAGAGGTCAGCTGGAGGAGAAAGTGGCAGAACATGACAGAACTTGGAGCCTTATTTCCTGATATTTGGACATCTCTCCCTGATTGGATAACAGCAACACGACTCGACAAATAACACAAGTCTGGAGGAGTTCTGCTGTGTCGTGGGGTTGCTAATGTTAGAAGTTAGCTTCTACTGGCCGAGACATTCTCTGCTGTTTCCTGGACGCTAAACCAACAACAGCCTTCCCCGTCGTGAGTCCAGATGGGTGAGACCATGAATGTTAGGTGACAGTGTGACGTAGATCTGTCAGGATTTTATAATCCTAGAGTTTCACCGTCTGTTTTCTATCAGAAGCTAATGCAGGAGATAGGTGTAGGAGACTATTTTCATGTTCAGCCTGCATGAAACACTCAGAGTGACCCGTTGGAATCAAAATGGGTTTTCAGTGAACCACACTAGAAAGATGTGGGTCACACCTCATTCACAGGCAGCTGTTTTCCAGGAAAGACAAAAGTCAGGAGTTCATGACTGATCCTGATGGTGAAGATAATTTAAACTTTCTTCAAACTCAAATGTCTTGTGTTTCGAAAAGTTATATTTTAAAAAGCTCACAAAAAACAACCCTCACAATTACTCAAATTAGACATTTAACCTTCTAACTTTCTGCCCGTTAAGAGTCAGTACTCCCCCGTTCATGAGACTTCATGTCTCCGTCACCAAATAATATTCAACTACAATCCAGCTGTTACGCACACGCACACACACACACACACACACACACACACACACACACACACACACACACACACACACACACACACACACACACACACACACACACACACACACACACACACACACACACACACACACACACAAACACACACACACACACACACACACACACACACACACACACACACGCGCACACACACACACACACACACACACACACACACATTCTATAATTTTCCACAAAGAGAATCATTCATCTCTGACCAAATGTTTTATTTTCAAACATTTCATTGACTGGGTGACGGTGGAAGCTGCTGGTCGTGGCGACTCTCAGACAGTTATCAGTGTATTTCACTAAGCTGCAAATATGGAAGTGGAGATCCTGTTTCCTGCATCACCACCTTACACAAACCTCAACTGTCTGCCCCTTGCTGCCTTTGGAAGAACGTTTATCCCTCCTGTCGTAAATGTTTTATTCACTGAGACTCATATGAAGCTGTTTAAGCAAAGCGTGATTAATGCACCATCTGATCTGAAACAAATGAGCTTTAATATGAAATGAGAACAATGCCAACAGCTAAATATGTTTTAGAGTGTTTTCATGCTACGTGCTGGAGTTTAAACCAACCGTTCAAAGTTTACAGAGCAGCTTCTGAAGAGAAGCAGGAGCTCATGTTGGTGTTGGCATCCAAGTGAGATTACAGCAGTTAAAACAGAAGGTTAGGAATAAAAGTTTAACTTTGGGCTTCTGAAAGCCTGAAAGTTCCCATAATTATCCAACTCATGCACAGAAAAAAGTTTAAAAGACTTGTTATCGTAAAGCTGATGACATTTGGGCTAAACTGATTCAGAGGCTCTCCGGGTGTTGTGGGAATCAGGACCTTCCAGAAGCTTGAAGTAACTCCAGGAGCTTTTTTATTTTTGTGGTTAAATTTGCCCCAGCGATGGGAATGTAGAAGTGATGTAATGACCTGTTAGCATTTGGAGGATGAGTCATAATCTCATCCCTAGTCCTGCTGCAGATACAGGATTTAGGCGGATTGACTCTAAGCCGTACCTGTGCGGACTTACACGGGACAGAGCTGAGAAAAGCGCGAGTTTTTCAGGTTTTGCTTGAGCTCCCTGATGTCCATTGAACCTACAGACAGGAGAAGCTCTCAGCTGACCCAGGATCAGTTTCTAGCTTATGCAAAATGAATCATAAACAGGGTCGGAGCTGCTTCAGACCTGATGTAATCAGAGTCATACAGCTCTGCGTGTAGGAGAAACACCTCATCAACATGAAAATCTCCTTTTTCCAAATGTTACACGTGTAAATGTAAAAAAGTAGTTTTGAAGTAAAATATTAAAAGTCTGTTGAAACTTCTTAAAGAAGCTTGTTGACATCTGAATTTCTGTTATGAGAGTTTTATCAAGTTATTGAGTTAAATCCTCAGGTCTTCGTTTAAAATAGCATTTTATAAAAATAGCTTTTGGTCACAAAAACATTGATGATTTTAATTTAGACCAACTGGATAAACAACTACCTTTGGTGTTGCTTAGGATAAAGGTGTGTGTGAGAATCTACCAGGTGATTATCTCCTTACCCACACAAATGGAGAGATACAGCACACACACACACACACACACACACACACACACACACACACACACACACACACACACACACACGATGAAGGGCAAACAGAAACACTCTTACAGTTGTCCCTCTAACTGTAGACCAGCTTTAGGGAGTAGTCTCATCACATTTTCGGCCTCAGCTGATCTGCTGACTGACTGAAGGACCTCTGCTGGTTTATCTAAAGAAAATCTTCACCTGCTGATGAAGCTGTGTCCCTGCAGTGTTTTAAACATCTGGAAGAACCAAAACGGAATCTGGATTGCTCTAAAAGTTAAATGTGAGAGGTAAGAGAACTTCCTCAGAGATCAGTTCAGTAACAACAGTTAAATGGATGTTAATGTGGTTTATGGTTTACCTGGAGTATCTTATAGTTAATTAGTGTGGACAGGTTGACTCATGAAACCTTTAAAGTCAACAGACCATCAGATAAACCCAAAACTAAAAGAACCTTTAATCAAACACAGCTTGAGTGAACACTGCACAGAGAAGACTTTGTTTTTCCACCTGAATAATAATGATGACGTTTGTCTCTGAAGAAACAGCTGGCCCTGAACCTGAAGAAGGTCCGACCCTAAACAGAGCAAAGGTCATGAATGAGGCGAACGTCTGGGATGGGGCGAGGGATGGTGAGTGACGATTTTACATAACACTGAACTATGACGTGTTGGTGAGGCTGCTGGCTGGGTACCGAAACTCGAGCTAGGTGCTGGCTGAGGCTAGCCGAGGGTTACGGGCTTCACTGGTCCACCACAGTCAAAGATCTGCAAGGTCGCTTCTGCACAAAGAAGGTTTGGTAATGTGTCTCTCCCTTTAACAATGGTGGGCCTGCACTCAGAGATCTGGGATTCTGCCACTCCATCCTCCCAGAAGCAACTGGGCGAGGCGGGTGCCCGGCTTCTCCCGTCTCATGGGTGGGAACAGCTGTACATGCAAGCGGCCGCCCAGTCCCGTCTCCCAGGGTAGCCGAGCCGTGCGGCCACCTGACTTTCATGTGAGGCTGTAGTCGTCCTGGCTGCCTGTAGAGCTGTCTGAGGAAGACCACAGAAACACCGCAGCTCTTTGAGTTGATGCGTGCTTCACTTCTGAGTCGCTAAAAGAGCCTGAAAACCTCCGTTAGCTTATGGCTAGCTCCAGGTTTGCTCAGGTAGTTTGTAGCTACCCCTGTCTTCTCCAGGCTCTGCGAAGCTTTGGGTTAGCTCGTAACTACATTGATTCAGAGCTTATTGGGGTCTATCATTTGCTCCCACCCTCACAGCCCCAATTCACCTTTTTCCCATTTTTGGATTGCCCGGGCGTGACGAGACTTGTGACAGGGCCAAGACGGCGGCAACTGGAACCGCCCAATTGCCTTCAAACCCCCCCCCCCCCCCCCCCCCCCCCCCCCAATAAATCAACATTGATTCGATGGTTGCTTTAGAATTTAATCAATGTTCAAGCAGTGGTCTCACCCTCCTGTTGAGGTTGTGACCCTGAAGTAATGAACGGCTGATGACACGTGTTCAACCCTGTTTATTTTCTGCAGGAATGTTTTTGAACATAATAATAATAAGATATGACATCACTAATGATGGACATTTAGGCTGCATGGTGGCGCAGTGGTTAGCACTGTTGCCTCGCAGCACGAAGGTCGCAGGTTCGAAACTCGGCTGTGGCCTTTCTGCGTGGAGTTGCGTGTTCTCCCCATGCATGCGTGGGTTTCCTCTGGGTACTCCGGTTTCCCCCACAGATCACAACATGCCCTATAGGTTATAAATTGTAAAGCCTGATTCATGCTTCTCCGTCTGCGTCAGTGCGGAGGCACGCAACGCCATTATCCGTCCTTGCGTGCCTGCCGGAGAGCTCCGCAAGGACGGACGGAGTCGAGCTCTCTTTTCTAAACATCCGTCAGTCGAGACGGACAACGCAAGCTTGTGATTGGTCAGGACGCCGCTGTTGTTTACAGCACCGCCATTGCGCCCTCAAAAACATAAAGAGAGCCGAGGATAACAAGCGGCAGACACGGAGAAGCTTGAAGAATACCTCGCCAAAAAACTCTAAAAACTTTGAACGTTTAATTCCCCGTGACTGGAGGAGTGAAAAGATACGCAGCAAGCATTTTATTTGTGGACGGAAATGACAGGAAACGTGGGTTTAGAGGTGGCGAGCGTATGAAGAGGTGGAGGAGAATGAGAGACAAATATGTCTGTGTTAAAAAGTCTCTTGTATACACAAAAAACACAATATAAACACACTATCTTGGA